AATCGTAAGCGGCACAGTATTTTTAAATATAACTCAACACAAGTAATTGTTCTAATTACAGGTCTGGTGATAGTAATGCATCATCCGGTGGTTCAGCTCACAGTCTGGTAGGTCCTTACCCGCATCCCCTGCGATCATAGTGGCCTCTGATCCATGCCAGTACACCGATCCCTTCAGCTCATGGCCAATATGCGCCTCTTTTTGTCTTTCTAAAAGTCCCAGCGTGATCCTACAATTTTAGCTAAAAGACTAGTAAATGAAACTTTCCTTCAACTGTTCCCTTTAGTGATGAAGCGAAACAACGGTTCAGTGAATTATATCTTAAGAGAAATGGAAATATTTTCATCAAAATAACAAACAGGAATGTGTCCTTCCATTTTTACCACATTCCATTGTAAAAGATCTTGCTTGTATCTTATTATTAAGGTTCTTTAAAGATAATGTTTGATCAGTGTGGCCTCTTAAGAAAAAAAAGCGTAGGCGAAATGCAGTGATCTGGAAATAGGAAGGATTTGGAGTCACAGCCTTGGTCGTGGGCCACCACACCCACTGAATGCAACATAGCAACCCTTATTTCTGAAATCCAAACCCAGATGTGTAGAAAAGTTACAAGTCCTAGCATTCAGAGCGTGCAATTCTCACAATAGGTAGTCCTTGATTGCCAGAACTTGAGACACAACCACACAAATTAGACAACCTCTAATTTATGCAATTTCTAGCCATATTCCCTTTAGCCGCTTTCACCAAACACATTAGCATAGACGATTCTGTTCGTGAAAGACCAACGGTTCAAAACCCTAGAAAAAACAAAATCAACATAGAAAATTGAAGTCTTTGTGAGATTACTGCCTTGTTGGTGATGCCAAGAGAAACAGAGGGTAATTGGGACCATCAGCTCGAAGGAGCAAACTTGTTCATGTTGTTTAAGCCTTTGAACCTTAACCACAATGGGTTTTTTTAGCAGTTGTTTCTCTCGAAAGTTTTCCATTCTTCACTAGAAATTCCTCTCCCTAAAAATGCCTTTATGCGGTTGGCCAAGTTTTAACCTCCTCTCTTGGCTGTTTACCCCCTGAGCCACTCAACACCAGCACAATAAAACAGTTTGGTGAAATGAAGCTGTGCACATTTTACGTTACCGGAAAGAAATTGTAACCGGTGTTTTTAGCAGTAGTGGAGCATTTTAAGTAGGACTTGGGGAATAAGAAACGATAAACCAATCTCGGATCTCCTAAAGAAGACTAAAGAAGTGTTGTGTTTATGTTCTCAACTTGGAGCGATGGAATTCAATTTATTGAGACTGTGACTTATTTGTCACCAGAAAATTCAGGTTGATCCGTTCTGAGCTACACACATTAACAATTAACAACTGCTTCTTGGATTGAGGTAAAACGCTTTCTAGAAAGGAAGGGATATTGAAGTGGTCTTAAAATTGTTGGATGTGCCTTAAGTGCCTCAAATGGACTTGTTCAGTGACGATTGGCAAGTGACGGTTCAGTTATCTACTCCATGCCCTATTAACCCAAAACGCTTGTATTAGTCCCATTCCCCGTTCCTGAAAAGCACTTACAACAGACCCCTTTACAATTCTTTTGCGGCCCTTTCCCACCGCCTAATCAAAACAGGTGTAAGAGAAAAAAAAACTAACAAAGAAAAAGGATTTACACCACTTTTAAAGGGATGCTAACATAACTTTATGATGGCTGGTCGGAAAGATAGCCTATACTGTTTAGCATTAGCACCACACAACTTGTTGAAGCATAGTTTGAAGGTAAGAGCATCGGAAGCAATCATGAGCGGAATGCATTCAGACCTGTAAATTCATACTAACTTAATAGAAATTCCGCTTAAAAATTTGAGGAGGCCACAGAACCACCGCTTCTCCTCTGTTTCCTGAAGCTCGATGCGCCTTGGTGATGAGTAAATTGGAATGTGCTCCTCAGCTAACACAGTGTGTTCAATTACCACCAGGCACAACCAGTTGACACAACTTTCCGATCTGACAATATGTAAGTGTTCTGGTAATGAATAGAATTTACT